TAACCCACCAACCATATCAATTTACTTGATTTCACCAAAAATTTCCCACATCCAATGAATCGGAGCATAACTACCCTATAGCACTTTATTTTGGTGATTTTTATGTACACGTGCATTACTGAGCATGTGCATTAAAAATTGGTGGTTTTAATATTGGCGATTCTGCTTGCAAACTGCCAATTGCCAAAATAAAAGTTCACCAAATTAAAGTGCTAGATCTATACGGTATAATATAATGTTGTCAGTCTCTTGATAATGTGATGAAAGACAGTGTTAATCCAGTTAATGACTGATACATGAAGAGTATCCAATTATGTAAGACTGATACCTCATAGCAAGAAATTTTGGAGGAGATTAAATTTGGTGAATTAGCATTTTGATAGCCATTTGCTAAAATAAAAACCTGCCATTTTGAGCCATTATTATTCCCATGCTCAATGGCACATGGTCACAAATTTGCCAAATTAAAATTTTCCAATCACCAAAATTTAGCAATTCACCAAATTTAACTCCCTCTAAAGTCTTCGGCTATACAGTAGCAGTTTTAATATTCAAATGCTTCAGCTATAATTATATCTTATGTTTTATATTGCTAAATTAAATGAGCTCTCCTTCACTTCTATCATGCCTAGTTGTAATTGACCAATCAGATTGCAGAATGCCAGGTTTCTAAATCTATTAGATACCTCCCGGGAACACTTATTAACCTCCCGGGAACACTTATTAACCTCTTGGTTTATTAAATAAAATAAGTGAAACCTGGCGCTCTACGCTTATGCTCTCATTAGTCCATTTGTCAAGCTTGGTTGATTCTTTACTGCCAAGCCTGTTAGATACGATGTATGCATGTCAACTGTGGTCTTATTATCAGCAGCTGGTAGTTGTTTTCAAATGTTATGATAGAAGTTGGTTATACACCTCGGTATCGGTTTCTATGGCATTTATTAACCTCGCGACTGCGTCGCTCGGTTAATAAATACCATAGAAACCTCTACCTCGGTGTATAACCTATACTTATTATTTATTTTATAGGCAGGAATGATCAAATTGTTACTATTGTCATTGCTCATACAGTCTTCATTACAATATCAAG